AGAGGTAGACACCATTGTTGCAGAAGTTTCCGGCGCCCACGCCAGTCAAGAGATGAGAGAGGAAGAATGGGTAAAAGAAGGAAGAATCTCTGCACCTGTGTCAGAATTCAACCGTAGCATTTGAAGGGTGGAAATCTATAATAAATACCAACATGCTATTTCACTGAACCTCGGGTAGGAGCATGTCGTTTACTCTCATCTCATCTAATCAGTTCCTTGTATTTTAAGGCTATTTGTCTTATTATTATTTTGCTTGGATGTTTGTGCAATAGCTTGACAGGGCACATACTCGGAATCATGTTTATTTTATTGGGGTTTTCATACTTATATATAGTGTAACATTAATTCCATCAAATGAATTGAATCTCATGATAAAACTCATCATCGATCTCAATTTAATATAAACACTTGTTTCTGGTTACCTCCTGATGAGTTCTTGGGCTGTGAACCCTGGAATAATCATCTCCCATTAAGAATAGCCGGATAATGGGAACCGATCTACAGAAAACTGTTCACTGATGTTTTCTACTAGATTAAAAAAGAAATCTGAATAGTAAGAAAATCTTATACAATGATCAGCAGTGAATGCCAAAAAAGAATTTTTTAACTGCAAAAATAAAAATTGCCCCCGTTAAATTTTAATTGAGGGTTTTCGCCCGTCCTTAACAATTCTTCACTTAAAACAAATAATTTTAATTAAGGATATAATTTATTCTTCAGAATTCTGCAGTACCGAGTGATTGGATGAGGATATCCATTCCGACTTTCTTGATAAGTACCATGAAAAGGCTTATATTAAGAGCAAACCGGCACTAGCTATACAGTATTGGTACTGTATAGTAACTGTTGGAAAACGACATCTTCCAATCGGATCCCTCCTAACCTTCCAGGTGTTAAACCGACACATAAACCATTCCAAAATTCTATTGTTGGGTGGCCAATTTGCATTGCGTATTTATTCAACTACTTCAATCTGATACATTATATCTATTGGGAGTACTGGCATGAAAGTTACTTGACACCCTCTATTATTTCAATCACAAACTCAACATATATAAAAGGCCTTCGAAGGCTCTCTGGTTTTTCGTTTCAGTAGCTACTTCCCAAACTCAAATGGATAAGAAGCCGGCCCAATGTGTTCCCGGAAGGGCAATTGCAAGCAGCAGAGGACACATCATGCGCAAGATTTTCACTCTTCTCTATACAAAACTGAAGCTAGCTTCCCAACGTGTCGTTTCTTATATATCTGGGAAGCAGTAAATTAAAATCTTCTCATATTAGTACTTCTTGTTGGCTAAGTGTTATCTACATCTCTCTCCTTTTCTTTTCACTGCAATATGTTGGAAACTACTTCTCAAAATGTTGTTTTCACTGCAATATCTTTTGTTTTACTGGGATAATTGGTAACTAGACAGGACATAACCCAAATTATGTAAGATCTGATCTCTTTTAATACCAAATGAACCCAACAAGGTTTATATTGATAGAGGTATTTATACATAGTATTTATTGATAATCTTCAAACATATTGATTTATTAGTACTAATTGCATCGATCACAAGTCAAATGCTTCAATGTACCTGATAGAAATGCCTCTTGTGATAATCTGACATCAAGAACAATAAGAAAAAAGAGAAGGGAAGTTTAATTAATTTAATTAAAACTCAACTTTATTCTATCAAAGCATAATTAATTATAATATATGAGTCCCTATTTGAAGTACTACTACAACGCCAATGATCAATGAATTGATTTCCCTACCAATTAATCTAGTAAGGGAGATAATTATATACTATATCCGTTGAGAAGTGGCTAATTACATCATTCAGATGAAAGTTTACGAAAGGAGAATAAATGTGTGGCGGCCCAAACAAAAGAGTTTTACAATTTACGACTGATATGTACATGTATATCTAGAAAATTAGGTTCCCCTTTGTTCTTCACTCATGAAAGTACTTGTGATTAATGAAAAACTTGGATTAATTTGTCAGATCTGCAATGTATTTTTACTCAAGAAGTTCCAATATAACCAATCATATATATATAATATATATATATATATAATATATATATATATATCAACCAAAAGTGTTCCTGCTGCTCTGTGTACTCTTGAAACTAAAATTTAAGAAGCCAACAACGATCTACGAATCATATATATATAGAATCAATCACACGAAATTCTGGTTGGAGTCTTGAGCAGACAAAAAAAGAAATACCCTAATTTCTTCTAATTCCAGTACTGCAAGTACAAAATTGATATGTTTGTGTTGGTGCGTACTATTGCCCTTTTTGAAGTTACATTAAGTACATGAAGGTGGCACGAAGGTTCCTGCAGGCAACCCCTACAAACTTACAAAAATCAAACATATATATAAACTCTTCAAAGCTCTCTGCTTTCTCATGCAGTAGATCTATTTATTCTATATCTCAAATGGATAAGAAGATCACGAGTGAGGTTAAGAATCGTGGAAGGAGAAACAAGAGGCGTCCTGTTAGGGGACACATCAAGCGCAGGATTTTCATTCTTGTTTATAGAAAGTTGAAGCTAGCTACCCAACATGTCGTTCGTTATTATATTCTATATTAAAGATGAGACCACCACAGCCACAGTTTATATATATACAAAATAAAGACTGCTGCGGGGGTGATAGAAATTGAGATAAAGCCTTCTCAATTCTCAAAGTAGTTAAGTTACTGTAGTTATTTCTTTCTCTTCACCGCTGCATACAACTCTGGTACTTTAATTAAAGTGTTACGTTGTTATTTTTCTCACCTAATTGGCTCTTGCATGATGCCATGTATCTTCTGTTATTAAATTAGACTTGAAAATAATCATGTAAGATCTCTCAACCAAGTTGAAGCATAATAAATGATGAGCTACGATGTATTTTAAATTTTGACTTCTCCATTTACTTTCAGAAACTTCAAGAGAGGTTTATTTGTATTTATAAATTAGGATGATCTGACCTCAATCAGAATAAAACCTGATATATATTTGGTAAATAAGCATTTTTATTCGCCGCACCGTTTCTACTGATCTCTCTCTTAAGTTTCAGCTAGCCACCACCCAAATAATTAATTTACCTCTGAATATCATGAAGAAAAATGCAAAATAATGAACTAGTGTCAACCTTTTTCAGATTTTTTTGTTGTTCACTGCCAGAGAATTAAACGTGATAGCAGACACCTGATCAGTTTAGTTTGTTTCTGTTTACATTTTCGTAAAGCTTTTATGAATGGGCTTTCCTTGAAGCTAGAGTTACAATAACGTTTGTTTTGAGGTCTAACACTGGTAACATTTCTTTTAATAGGCTAATTATCACATTTGGATATCAAGTAATTAAATGTTTCAGTAATCGATCAATATCAATTATGATTACTATAAATAATATAGGGGGTCATTCGATTACCATCTGAAATGGTGTTAATTTTTTATTACCAGGATAATCAACTGTTCATATCAATTTTACCCTTAATTAATAAACATTTTGGATATAAATGTCATCATACGTCTACTAAATAACAATTAACCAAAATGTACGAAATAACTTCTTTAACCTCATATATTAATTTTTTGGACATAAATACCCTCACTATTTACATGGATAATATCCAAAATACCCTTAGCCACCCAAGACAACTACTGGCCATCGGTGACCACCACCGACAGTCATTGAAACGGCACACAACCGGTCGAATCTAGCCGACCATGTGTTGATCTAGCCTTTTCCGGCCAGATCGAAGGCCAAAAATGGCCAGATGGCTGTGGATCTGGCCAGAAACGTCTAGATCCGTTTTGGCTGATTTCGGCCAGATCCACTGCCGTTAACAGCCACAGATCTGGCTATTAATGGCCAGAATGGATTTGGCTTTCCAACCAGATCCATGGCCACCTGATCGTTTCCAACCTTCGATCTAGCTAGAAAAGGCCAAATCGGTGCACAGTCAGCCATATTCAATCAGTCATGCACTGTTCCGACTACTATCAGTGGCGACCGGCGGTTGTCTTAGATGGCTAGGTGTGTTTTGTTAAATTTTAATCTTTTGTTGTTAAGGTGTTTTAGCTAAATTCTTAAATGTAAGAGGTTAAAAATAGTGTTCTAAATAATAATAATAATATTAGCAAGGAAGAGCAATTTAGTAAAAACCCCTCCGATAATATTTTATACCTTCCAACCAAATATATTAATTATTTATATTCATCAATCTAATCAAACATATTAGTATAATGTTCCCTCGTTAATCTTTAAGGTAATTGATCTCAGTGGTAATCATTTTTTTCAGTAATAAAAAATTCTCTGAAACAAAGGCTATCTTAGATTTAAATAAGGAGGAATTAGAAAATGATATCCTATACAGAAAATTGCATATTCTCTCTCAATTTTAAGTACGTCGTAGAATATATCTATTTTAAATTCTTAAGAGTGTTTGATAATAAAAAAAATAATTGTGTACTTTTTAGTAAAATAATTCCCTTATTAAGAATCCTGAAAACATAATAAATGCCAAATAATTTTTTTTTTTTTAATTTCTTCTTTTTTATATAGCATTGAATAACATCTAGTATTATTACTGCGCAACAACATAGCAAAATTTCCGAACAGTTAATTCGAAGATTACAATTAATATCTCCATAAATTTGAATCTTGATCATTACATTTATAATCATTGATTGTTAAATTTAACACAAAATAACCAAACACTTAGATGGTTGTACAATCAATCTCATTACTATAAAGAACAATGGTAACTACATGTCATTAAACCATTAATATCATCATTATTACCTTTGTTATCATATGATAATTAAATAACAAGCTGCGTTAGTGTCATTAAATAACAAAACGACGATTACATTCATCATTGTTCAGTAAATATTATAATTAACAAGGAAACATGAATTTATAATATCAAAAATCATATTTAAAATTAGGTGTAATTTAATATTAGTGGTTGGAGCCCATGTTTAAAAAAAATAAAAAAAGAATAATCGTTCATTGAAGAGGAAGAAGCAGTAGAGAAACAAATAGAATCATATGATACATTGATATACTGGAGCATATATACCAAAATAATATCCGATGAGGAGTTGATTGAAAAGATTAACAGGCTAAAGAGCAACGTCAAACCAGAATCCAAAATCAGAAACCCATGTTTATTTATCTGATGCGAAGCCTAATCAACTAACAATATACTCCAAACCTGCATCACAAGTACTCTCTGCTACTCACTCGACTTAAAATGACCTATTGGGCTTTGGCGAAGACGATGACTTGGATTTAGCAAAATCAACAAGATCCTTGAAGAGAGCATCTTCAGGTTTTTCTTCTTTCTTAGGGGTAGATGAATTCACCATCTTTAAACATCGTAGCTTCACAACTACAGTCTTCCAAGCATGCCTTTTCACATTCTTCTTCTGTTGGCAATGACAGAATGGAATATGAAGCGTCCTCCCATTTGGTATTTGCAACTCTATCAATAGTGTATTTGATATTTCCATCCTTGCTTTCACAGTTCTCGGTCGAGAAATTCTTTTGACAGCCTCCCTCTCCACTAATTAAATATCCTGGAAGACATTGACAGTAAATATCTCGATCATTTTTAACACAATATCTGTTTAGGCCACAGAGACCCTTTGGGGAACACTTATCATCCGAAGAAGCCCATACAATCAACACAATGCTGTTCTGATTTAATTTAAACGAATACAGTTGGAAGATCCCATCCGTGTCAATTTTCATCAAATAGATTGTTCCTTCTGTAGAATAGCCTCCTGGAGTAAGATCTTTTATAATGAACCCAGTAGAATGAACCAGGTAAAGATAGCCATCGACATCAAGATTTAGTGACACATTTTCACCTCTATCATCTGTAAATAATGAATAATAAGAATATGCTGCTTCATCTGGAGTATCCTTTGGGTACTGCACAAGATTTCCATCGTTTTGCATCTTTAGACGAAAGATCCCCGTTGATTGGTTGGTTGCTGAAACACTTGAAAACAGCTCTTCCCCTGCCAAGAGACTTTGACCTGGTAATATTGTATTAGTCGGGTTCCGAAAACTCTGCCATATTATCTCCTGATCAGAATTGTAGAGAATAAAATTCCCTGAATCAAACATAGATGCTTTTGCAACAGGTTCATGTGTATTTACTATGGATATTTCTTGGCCATCTGCTGATTGAAGAACAAGTCTTCCTCCACCTGTAAGAAGCAAGGTAACATTTCCTTGAATCGGAGGGTTATTGCGATTTGCTGTCCAAACAACAGTCTTCTGAGGTATTCCTGCAACAAAAATTCCCGCAGAAAAACCATTTCCTTGCTGATAGAAGCCAAAAGCATATAAACCAGAAGGCGATAGCCAGGAGGAGTTTCCAATGGGAGTTAGAGAAGAGCCTAGACTCATATTGAGTTGCCCCTGTTGATTTGTCGCCAGAAAATTTGTAGAAAGCAGAAGAAAGAATAAGATGGCAACCATTTTGGAAGAGTAATCCTGTATTTCTAACTTGATCACAAAAGAACAAAATCACAAGCTCATTTAAGACTAGTAAGAACAGACAGCTATATGTACAAATCTGTTTTTTACCTCCAAGATGGAGCGAGGAAATAGATAAGACTATTTTAATCGCAAGACCTTTTCAAATTGAAGTCTCCAATTCCAGTCATTAAGTATTCTAAAATGAAGGTTTAATATAATCCTGGGAAAGCGATTGAGATATAGAATTTTAATTGCAAGAACAAATCACAGGTTAGTCATAACCTGAACTCCCCAGCTAAGCAAAGTCAAGTCTTTGGTAAGTTAATTAGTAACTAACTTCACCAGCTAAGTTAGTCAAGGTCAATAAGTTCACTGAAGTTCATCCCATTTGACTGTTCATTTAGTAAGTTGTTTTATTCAAAGTTTCTTTTACTTTAAATAGAAGTATATGAAAACCGTGAACCATTGAGGACTTTTTCTTTTCCATAACCAATGCCAAAGAAATATAGAAACACAAACATACCTAGAAGCAACATCTTGTTTAACAATCACAAACATCTGCTTTAATGGACATGCTTCTGCATTTAAGAGTATAACACTAATAGTTTAGTTGCAAAGAGATATGAATCCTAAAGAGACATGACTTTCCTTGTAACTTAAGGCATCATTTACATTTCTACATATATGTTTAGAGATTTGAATTACTGTATAATTCACCCTACATTTCATTGGTTCATTCATTTCAAATAGTTTTAGGACCTTAATTAAAGTCTTAGAATTCTAATTTCATAAATCTTTGGTGCATTATGCATCGAAAAGATTTGAATGGGCTTCAAACAGAAGAAGAATGCTCCAGGACCATCTGCAAAACAAAACTACAGAAACATCTTACTGTATTTATATGACATGGGAGTCTTTATTTTAAATTTAGAAGTTGCAAACCTACATACTCAAGCCTATTCCTATGCCTACCACTTAACTCATCAGAAGATTACAGTTTGTTTTCTTATTGTAAAGCCCCGTCACATATGTTGAAACAAAAATACAATCAACATATATTCAGCAATTATCAACTCCACATGTATGAGATTTTACCCGGAGGAGGAAGTGGGACAAGGAGGAATAGAGACATCAGTAATCCCTTCTAACATCATCACCATAGTCTTCATTGAAGGACAAAGAGCCGGTTCATCTTGAACACACCAGAGCCCCACCTTAACCATGTTCTCAAAAGTCTTCTTATTCACTTCTTCACTACAAACAGGCTTATTCATCTCTTGGTTGATGAAGCACTTGTAAACCCAATTAATAAGAATTATTACCTCCGGTTTTGATGCATTAACATCCAAGTTTCTTCTGCAGCAAACAATTTCCAGCAGCACTACCCTGTAACTGTAAACATCAGCTTTAACTGATATTGGGATGTTCTTCGACCATTCTGGTGCCATGTAACCTCTTGTCCCTCTCACCAATGTGAAAGTCCTTGTTTGGTCTGGCATTAACAGTTTTGCAAGACCAAAGTCGGCAAGTTTTGCAGTCCAAAAATCATCCATCAGACAGTTCTGAGGCTTTATATCACAGTGAATGATAGGCACTTCACATTCATCATGGAGATAAAGAATTCCTCTAGCAACATCTAATGCAATGCTCTCTCTCTCGTTCCAATCTGGGGATGTTTTGGAGCAAAAGAGTAGATATGCAAGGAATCCATTGCTCATGTATTCATACACCAGAAGCCTCTTTGAATCCTCAGCACAATAACCAAGCAGCCGAACTAAGTTCCTATGATGTGCTCTACCAATTACATGCATCTCTGCATGCACTTCTCTTTCCCTACCATCATTCATCATCTTCTCCAATCTCTTGACAGCAACAAGTTTTTCACCCTTGAATAAGACCCCTTTATAGAGTGCACCAACAGAGCCCCGGCTTAGACCTTCTTCGAATCCATTTGTTGCCCTCTTAAGCTCACTGTAAGAGAATGAACTTAGAGTAAGCTCATTAGTTGAACCAAAATTTCCAGTTTCTAGCGGCCATTTGTACTTAACAACCTGGTACTTAAACATGAAAAATCCCGTGATTGCAAGGAAGACACATGAGCAAGTGATGAATTCCATAGTTACAAGAAGAATTAACATAATTTCCTTCTTGCTTTTGACTCTGACAAATGTTTAAGGCTTCAATGGTAATGGTCCCAATGGAGTGGAACCATTATTGGTTTAGATAGCCTTCGCACCCATCTTGAAGTAAGCTGCGAAAGACTCATCTTGATTATCATCATCCCTCATAGCAGATTTCAAAGGAAGTTTGTGCTTAGTGCAATATCCTAACTTATACAAAGCTGCATCACAATTGCAATCCTCCAAACAGGATTTTCTACTATCTTCTTCTAACATATCTACATGGATAATCATCACATGTAATCTTTTCCATAGAAGTAATATCATATACACCCACTAAACTGCTGGTTAGGATCAACATAATCAGCACCAGGAATGCATCTGCAGACATATAATTTGTCATCCAATGTGTAATAGTTGTTCAAGCCACAGAAACTCTTAACCTGGCATTGATTAGCTGGTTCCGACCAAAGCTCAGTGGATCTGTTGTATTCAACTGATCCAGTGACAAAGGAATAAGCAATCGAACAAGAAATCTGTTGTAGCACAGAACAATTAAAGCAAAGGTAATAGCAAATTAGGAAGATCAATTGCAGAAAAAAAACTGATTCACCATTAATCAAACTGAACTTTTTTCTACTATACACTCACACACTAGAAAGCGTTTAAAAGTTACAGAGCATCCAAAAAAAAACTGCAAAACAACTGCTTACAAACTGCACATAAACTGAACAATAACTGTAAAAAAACTAACAGCAACTTTGCCACCTTAGCATCACTTTTTGGTTGCAGTAGTATTTAGATACACATCTACAACACTCCTCCTTGCATCTAAGCTGCTGCAAACTCCCAACTTCAGTCTCAATAATTCAAATCTGATCTTGGACAACTCCTTGCATCTAAGCTGCTGCAAACTCCCAACTTCAATCTCAAAAATTCAAATCTGATCTTGGACAACGCTTTTGTGAATATATCAGCTACCTGATCTTCAGACTTACAATATTTAAGTTGAACCAACCCTTCCTTTTGCACATCTCTAAGAAAATATGAGTTTTATTTGAAGGGCTTAGTTCTACCATAAAACACAGGATTATTAGAGATTGCAATGGCAGCTTGGTTATCCACACACTTGAGTGGCTTCCTATAAAACCCCATTCTAATCATATATATTTCGCTTTGGTTTTGTTTATAAGGAGGTTTCTCTGTCAATTTTTAAAGTTCGTTAAGGGGTGAATCGAAGAAAATAATCCTGATGGGTCTGCATGTATCAAGAGGGAAAATTTGGACATTTTTGCTAGGGAAAGCTTATGTGGCGGGGTTAACCTGAAATTTAGAGAAATTGGGGGGCAAAAAAATAATTCAGAAAAGTGTTTGTTTAAAAGGAAAGGAAACTGGGCAGTTCGCCAAAAGAAGAAGGAGAAAACGAAGCGAGGAAGGAAAAAAAAAAAAAAGAGAAAATAAGAGAGAAAGTAGAAGAGAGGATAGAAGAAGAAAGAAGAAGAAAAAAGAAAAGGAGAAGAGGGGAATGATTTCGGCTGAAAATGGTAGAGTGAGAGAAAAGAGTGGAGGAGAGTGCAGGGACTTCGGCTGAGTTAGAATTGTGATGGATCAATGAAAGTTTTCTTAAAAATTCAGATTTATGTTTGCATGTTAATATAGTTGGCCATTTTTTGCTTTTGATGAGTTTGAGCTGAATTTGAAGCTGCTGAATTGCTTTCCTTTCCATGCTTTGATGAATGTTTGGTTGGTTAATTTGGTGCTTAAAATGGAGCGTATTTTGCTTGCTAGCTGCACCTGTTTGACTTCGGTTGTTGACTAAATTGTGATGTTGGCTGGATATTTACCTTAGCATGTCCGGTGCTAGCAAATTTTTGAGTGAAAGTGTCTCGATCTGAATTTAACAAAGCTGATTTGTGTTGCATTTCACCAGATCTTTCCTAAAAACACAAGACTCATGTTTGTATATTAATGTCTTGTTGAGAGCCTTGTTATTTTGTGAAGACGCTTAAATTGTTTTCTTTACTGTTTTTAGACGAATCTTTGAAGTGCTTGATTGAGTTTTTAAGTGTTTTTGATGAAATATTGCTGGTATTAAACTGCATGCTTGACTGGACAGCATATGAAAGAAAGGACTGAGATTTTTGATGTTGGTAAATATTCTTGGTAAAAAGGGCAAATGGGTGCTTTTCGTCAGTTTTGAAAGTATGCTTTAAAAACTGCATTTTACCCCTGTTTTCCATGAAATCTCATATGTTGGCATGATTTATCCTTATATGAAATTTCTTATATTATTATTATATTATTATTATTATTATTATTATTATTATTATTTTTGCTCTTGGTTTAATTATAATTATAATGTGTTATATGAGTTTGACTTTTAAAAGTGATATTTGCTTATTAAATATTCTTATATTATTATTATTATTATTTTTGCTCTTGGGTTTAATTATATTATAAGTGTTAATGATTTTTGACTTTTAAAAGTGATATTTGCTTATGATTTGTATCGGTTATATGTTAAGATCATGTGATATTGAAGGAATTTTTAATCGGGTTATACCGTCAGTCTTTGAAACTGTTTAGAAAATTGTAGTTCACCCCTATATGCGATTTCTGAATATTATGTCATATATGTATGATTTATAAGCACATACGTAATACTCTTGACTTACATGTTACATGAGATTATGCATGAGTATGTTGTGGTGCTAAAACCACCCTACGAAGTACCTATCCCCCAGTTCAGGCTCTGCCCATGCGATGCAGGATTCGCTGGTATTGAGATATTCGTTCTTCAGGCTCTGTGCATGCGTATTGAGATATTTGTGCTCTGCCTGGGCGTTAGTTTGTCCGCCAGGTATTGAGATGGTTTCTTCAGGCTCTACCCGCGCGATGATAGATCTTGCCGGTATTGAGATGTATTTCCCGCTCTGCCTGTGTGTGGGATGCCCACCAGGTATCAATTTTTCCCCAGGGTACTAGTTGTGGTGAGAACCTTTAGTATCGGTTTACTGTTTCGAAACGGAATCAGTTTAAAGTTTCAGATACCAGCCTACAGTTTTCAGTATCAGTTAATAGCTTCAGTTTTCAGTATCTGATGGATAGTTTGCATTAGTTTATGAGACAGTTGATGTGTAGCATGATTTATGAACATTGTCTTTAGAAGCATAAGCATTTACAGCACTTCTTAAGTTCTCATAAAAGAATTTTCCATTTAGTAATGAGCTAGGATTCAGAAATTGTGTCAGTTTAATTGATCAGATTATATACTTAGAACAATTAGAAATGAGTTATCATGCATACATGGATGATTAGCTGCCACCATAAAAGAATGTTCATGGAATCTGTTTTTTCTGTATTTTATAAAAACCATTGCATGCCATAACTTTTGTTTGACGAATGTTTTGCAAACTCCCCCTTTTCCCCACTCACTGAGTATTTCAGCTCACCCCTTTTTAAATGTTTTTCCCCCCACCAGGACCTCCGGAGATCGTGCCGAGCAGTGAGCCTCGCTCAGGTTGTGCCACGCGTTGACATCTTTGTGGGTTTTATATTTATGTCGCATTGTAAAATTTGGACTTTCGTTTCAAAACTCATGTTTTCCTTCATGTGTTTGCTTTGTTTCATATTTTGGAATGTGTAGTATAAGTGGAAAACCTGATACCACAAGTTTCCCTAAGCTTTTCTTTTTTAAAACGAAAGATGATGCATGTCTTTTTTTGAGATGTTGGAAATGGAATACTATGATGTTTATCAGGAAAAGTATGTCTTAAACAGGTTTCGCAGTTTTCTTACATGGCACGTCTCGGGTATCCAAGTCTTGTGGGAGCGCCCGGATCCTACGGGATGAGGAAATTCGGGACGGTTGTGTCAACTTGGTATCAGAGCATGGTTTTCGATTTTTAAGGGCATTTTTTTTTTAAATTTTACGCATGCCAATTGTCCCTTAATGAAGTTTTTTTCCGTCCATGAGTTTTATTTTAGAACAAATTTGTTTATGTTTTGTAGATATCGCATGAGCAACGTGGCCAGCCTCGCACGAAATCCGTAGAGAATTATTAGTTCCTAGAGTGCTCAGGAGGGTGGTGAGCCTAGGGAGGAGAGAGTAGAAGAGTCGGATGCCCACAGGTCAGGACCTCGGGACCCCAGGAGATCAGATGCCGAAAATCAAATGTTGAGGAAGGACCAATGAGTGAACAAAATGTAGGGCTCCAAGGTGATAGGATACATGGAGCACTATGATAGCTAGCTCAACTGATGACTAGGGTAGTGCAGTAGGACGCTTGGGCGTCAGGGAGAAGGAAAAAACTATAGAGAGAGCGAGAAAATTAGGGCAATAACTTTGAGGGGATGGAGATCCCACATGCCGACTCCTGGATGGATCAATTAGAACAAGTTTGGGATGATGGAGTGTACCGATGACCAAAAACTATGGTTTGCTACCTTTCTACTTAAAGGTAGGGCTCGTCTTGGTGGAGCGATACAACCTAGATATGGGGATCCAACAACAATACTTGGGCCAATTTTCGTCAGGAGTTCTTCGATCATTATTTTCCTATGGTGTATCAGGATGCTAAGCAGAGTGAGTTTATCAGACTAACACAAGGAAATATGTCATGGAGGAATATTTGATTAAGTTTTTGAGTTATCCCGTTTTGCCCCACTTATAGCTGGAGATGAGAGAGCAAAAGGTAGGAGATTTAGGAGGGCCTTAGAGGTAGGATTAGAACAATAGTGGCCTCACACTGCTGCTCAGAGTTTGGAAATTGACAGAAGATACTATGAGAGTTGAAGTAATTTGGGAGAGTTTGAGAAGAGAGAGCCACAAAGACGAAACGTATAACTGTGTGGGTAGTTGATGGCCCTAGTAATAGGAATCAGAAAGAGAGTGTAGTTTTTCTGGACTTCTAGTAGTCCAGGACAAGACCAGAGGCAGGTCCGGTCAATTGTCAGGGGTAGTGATAATTGAATAGAAGGTTCCAAGATAGTAGACA